GGACGATTTCGTTCGGCAATTTCACGAGCACCATCCGTAGTTTTTAATTGTATCTTATTTAGTTATTTATAAAAGATTTTGTTTTTATTTTTTTATTTATAATTTGATTTTTTTTTTTGAAAAATAAATTATTTATATTTATAATTAATTTTTTTTTAATAGGGAAAAAAATAATTCGAAGCAAAATCCTCGTAAAGGTTTCCAAGTAATGTCCTCGTAAATTATTCTAGTAAGTTCCTCGTAATGTATTACTACGAGCTTACGAGGAAATATATTACTATGACATTACGAGGAAACCTTACAAGGACCTTACGAAGAAAAGATAACCACGCGTTTACGAGGAAAGTTTCCTCGTAAATTAGCTACGACCTTACGAGGAAAATGGCTTTACGATGAACGTGTTTCGACGAACCGTGTTTCCTCGTAAGATCCTAGTAAATGGTCATTTACTAGAAAATAATGAGGAAAACTCGTCCTAGTAATGGACAAGTTTCTTGTAGTGTAAACACTAATCCACTAATTTATGAGATGTAAAATAAATAAATAAATAAAAGTGCTTTGAATTTGTTCAGTTTTTTAAGCAAAAATTTGACAAATTCCTAGCTAGAAAATCACAAATCTAATGATTGTTTGCTTCAGGATCAAAGCTATTAACACTCTAACCTCAGATTCAAGCCTTTACGCCTGAGAAGCAAAACAAGGTGGCAGCCACTCGTGTTGGAATTCATGAGTGTTTGTCTCATGTCAAGAGATACTCGTGACTGAATCTCTTTCTACCTAACAACAAGAACTCACTATTACAAGGAAAAGACAATCAACTTGTAACTGAATCCTCATATATAACTTCTCTATATAGCCAAGAATTCTAGACAGTAAAATGGTTATATGAAGCAAAAACTCTCTTTTAATATTTTTTTTTAATTAAGAAATTCCACCCAAACACTCTAATATCACTTGGGCACTTGAAAAACTCCACAATTTAATTTTTTTTCAATAACAGTGGATTTTAGAATACTTTATAAAATGTCAAGTTCAATAACACTGAATTTTAAATGATTTTTTAAAATTCCTGTTTGATTGGATTTGTCATTTTAAAACAAATCATCTAAAACTCTCAATTAAATACATCCCCTTGATCCTTGAGAAGTAACATAACACTTAGAGTTGGTGTATTTAGATGAATTTGACTTACAATCAGTAAGCTAGAGTTTAAGACAGTAGATAAAGAAGAGTCTAAAGTGAGTTTGATAAGTATAGTCTGTCTTAAGAGACAAATAGTTAAGGTAGCCTCTACACCATAATTCTTAACCTCTTACATTGTGAATGTTAGTTAGACACAAGTAAGAGAGAGAGCACACAAAATTTAGTGAGAGAAACTTCTCTATTGATTCTGGTGAGTGTTACAAGTGATGAAGAAACCTTTAAATAGGCAATACACATGATTAAACAAATACTAAAACAGGGAAACATAAACAAATAATTATGTAAGATTTCTGATGAGAACAAAGAGGATATAGCCAAGTTGAGGCATGACCAGAGGTAGTGAGAATGACAAAAGAAAGATGCACATTTTCTTTGGTTTAGTAGTGGCAGGTCATGCAGTTTTTCTTAAGCAATACATGTGACTTCTTCTTGTTTAAATCAAACTAGAACTGTGTACTTCTATCCATGAGTCCCTTTAATTCTGGAAGCTCCTAACGTCCATATTGATGAGTCTCCCCAACTTATTTCTTGCCTTATTTTGTTATCCATATTTCAGTACACTTCATTGCAGTTCACTACACTTTGATGTAATTCGCCATACTTCATTGCAATTCGTTGTATTTCGCTGCACTTCGCTTTATTACTAGTGATCTTGTTTATTGCTTCATCTCAAAAACTTGTATCTGGGGGTCCCAGCCATATGATATATCTCAGTTAGATAACCTTTTCCTTTGTCAACATTTTAGCTACTTCTAAAAAAATTGAGGCTTTTTAAATATCGAATGAGACGAATTAAGTTTCATCATTTTAATATGAAAATTAACAATCAAGCAAAAAAAAAAATGGATTGTTTTTTTTACAGGAAAATGATCAGTTACTTTTCAAATCAATTTTCAAGAAAATGAAATTAGAACTTCTATTTCCTAACTTTCCAAATTTTAATTGATGCATAAAGTAGTTTCGAATAGTCAAGTCTACTTGATAAAGTATGGCTGGCATCCATCAATATGTGGATCTGTCGTAGGGGTTGGTTAAGCCACCCAACGATCTCCCAATTAGATATTCTGAGCTTGAAAAGAGTCAAAACTTTCTACTAGAGGGTGGACCGAGAATTAAAATCAATTGGACCACTCTATGTGATGACCCAGCTTTATCACCCGAAAAGTACATTCATCACTGGTGACTATATTATCTAACATTATACATATTGTAAAAACAATATTTTATAATCAAGAATCAAGATTAATTTTGTTACCATTGTGTAAATAAATTTTAAATAATAACATTATTAATTTTCATTATAATATAATTTTCAAAGGATCATCCTTTAAAAAAAATTGACATTAAAAATTGTTTTATCTATAACTATAATTTATTAATTATTTTTAGTCATAATTAAAAAACTAGAAGTCAAAAGATCATTTTTGAAAATAAAAATATTACTTTCTAATTTAAGAATGTGTTTTCTTCCCCAAATAGCAACTTTAATTTTGGAGGAAAAATAAAAGGGAAAATATATATGTGAGGTGTGCAAAGAATTTTTCTCTATTATAGCATTTAAATGCAAAATAACAATAATTTGGAAATCTCTATAATATTATTTGACAATTGAATTTTCTATGTGACGCTCTCACGTTGATTCTATGAGTGGTGAATTATGTACATAACCTTTTCAACTAAAAACATTACACATATATGTTATTATTAAGAGATTTAGTTATATTTCTTAATAATATTTCAAATTTTAATCTAGTTTTAAATATTTTATCACAAACCATATTAATATTTAAAAATAGAATTATTTTCAAATATTAAATATAAACTGTATATATTACATGAATTCAAGAAGCAAATTTCACAAAATCTAGATTAATCTTAAGAGTAGGAGTAGCATATTGGTGTATAAACACTAGTTGCAGTTACCTGCATCTAAACAAAGTGAATAGTGTTTGATCCTCTCTTCCAGGGTTTGGGAAGGGAAAACGGTCATTTCATACTCAACATATCGCGATATGTTTAATTCATACCTGACCTATATGACTGTGCAAAAATATACATGTAATTTTGAAAAAATTAAATAACATACATATTTTTTATTTTTTTTGAAAAAATCATATACTTGTCAGCACACGATTTATCACATCAGCTAATTTGTTGACGTGGATATTATATGTAAGCTAATTTTTTTGATGAGGATGTCAAGTGTACAATAATTTTAAAATAGCTGTTTAAAAATATATATATTCTTAGAAAGTGTAAACCTTATAATTTTTTGACAGCTTATAATTTTTTATTTATTAAAATTAACAAAACATCATTAAATAACAAACTTTTATTCTCTGACAAGAGATATATTTTTTATAATATTTTGATCATATCACAATACCGCCCTTATTAGAGTTATATATGTGTTGTAATGATTCAAATTGAATGTTAGTGTTGTAGTTTTGTTACTATCGATTAATCTTGGTTATGTTGTTTACATTTAAAGAGTTTAGGCTAACATATCATAGATTCTTAATCTTTTAACAAAAAATTATTCGTATAGTTACATAACAGATTTTAAAATATTTATACAAACTCATAACCAAAATTGACATAAGAATAATTGATAGGATCTAAAATTTTAACGGATATATACTTATATAAGATTAAAATTTTTATTATTTAACGAAGTTTTGGTAATTTTACTAACTAATAAAGTTTACAAGCTGTCAAACAAAATATATAAGCATTTACATTTTATATAAAAATATTTTTTCTATAGAAGAACTATTTTATTTTACTTTTCAAAGAATTATTGTATGTGGCATATTCATCGGTAAAATTTGCTTACCTAACTTCCAGCTCAGAAAAATTAGATGACACTGTAGCTTATATGCGAGCTGGTGTATGATTTTGCAAAAAAAAATAAAAACATTATGTATGTTATTAGAGTTTTTTGAAAGTACATAGATGTTTTTGCACAGCCATATAAACTGAGTATGTATTGAATATATATTGCGATGTGTAGGATATAAATGGCCGTTATCGGGTTTAAGAAGCTAATGTATTAATGGCCGTTTTCGGTGGGTTTAAGAAGCTAATGTATTAATGGCCGTTTTCGGTTTTGGAACCTAATTTGTACATAGTTATGGTCGAAATAATCTCGATTATATCCTTCTATATCTTTAAATATAAAAGACCTTCATTTATCTATTTTTTTTTTCTTTTTGACCTTAAAGCATGAATAAATCGTAACTGGGAGGCCGGAAGCCTAAATCAAGAACTAGAAGACTGGCCTCCTGATTCTTTTAGGTGAATTTGCTCTGTGGATAAATTATCCGAAAAATAATATTCACGAGTAGTACAAACATCTTATATATAATTAAAATTGCAAATTAACAACATTTGATTCATTGTAAGCGATGGTAATTAAACCTTACAACCTCTTAATCTAAAATCATAAGTTACTATATCCAGAAAGTAAAACAGATCCAAATTATCCTTTATTCATAAATATTTATATATAAATTTATTATGGTAATTCATACTAGTGTCAAGATTGGTACAGATACTTTAACACAATTAGTACGGATACTCTCCATGCATATAAAAAAAAACATTTACGAGTAGAACAAACATCTCGATACACAAAAAAAAAAAAAAAACAACAACTGGTAGACCTTACAACCTCTTCATGTGAAATCATAAGTTACTACATATTGATTAAAGGAGTTTTATTTCATTTAAAAGCAGTACTTCAGATTAACTTTATTCATATGTAAATTACGTTATAGTTCATGTTAATGTCAAGATTAGTAAGGGTATTCTCCGATGTAATTGCCGGGTGTGTCATAGTTACATGTCACGAACCACCAACCATTGGTGCACTGAACCCTAGCGCACCCTAACTTCACTGACTCTCTCCATACCACTTGCGTGTAATGCAAGCATTGTTTGCCACCTGTAGTTAATTCATATATATTATACATTTATGCAGCCTTATTAAAATAATGGGATACGAATTGTTTGTGTTGTATATAGTATATACCTGTACAAGAATTGGTAGTGTAGTTGTAGTAAGGTTTCTCAGCGACCCAAAGATTCACGGCCGATATGGCCGAGAACGTGCTGCTACTTCCCTTGGCTAGGTTTTCTCCATATGGTCCTGTCGAGTGCACGAGGTTGCAGTCAGATTTTCTAGCGTTTGCGTAGTTCAGTGCGTAGCTCGCGACCGTTGCGTCCCATACAAGGTTCGGTACTCCGACCTGCGAACGTGCGGCGTTGTGAGTGTTTAAGTAGTCTTGTTGTTCAGTACTTTGAACGCTGGATGCAATGAGCAAAATGCTAATCGCAACGATTGGAACTGATGTGGCTGTGAAAGTATTCATTATCAAAATTTTGATTCGTTGATGTTTGTGTTAAGAGGAAAATATATATTGTTAGTGTTGTGAGTAGGTATGAGGAGTTGGATCTCACTTATATAGGCAGTGTTTGCATGAGAGGTTAGCTAGTGGTTCTGGGAAACTTTGACATTGGAGAATTGACTTTTCTTTTTAAAGCTTAATCATAAAATGTAGTTTTATGGTGAAGTAAACTGACATAAGAAGTATTGTCATGACTTTATCACTATTACGCAAACCTTAGCTAGATCTATTTGGTCCTAACAGAAAATAATAAAAAGTATCAAATACTAGTACTTGTTTTGCAAGTGAAAAAAGATAACAAACTTTGTAGTATTATAAACATTTAGTTATCTAATTTTTTTTTTAAAATTGTTATCTACTCACTCTGTTTCAAAAAGATTAACATCCTACAAAAAATATTTGTTTCCAAAATTGTAGAATCCAAAAATATTAATTCTGTTTTTTTTTTAAATTCTATTGGTTAAAATTTATAGGGAATTATTATCTATAATAAATAAGTCATTGGTAATCAAAATTTTATGTTTTTTTTTTAATATGTGTAAAAAAGCTAAAACAATTAACTTTTTGAAACAGAAGGAGTAGTTAATTAACATTTTTCGTTTTCTTTTCTTGAGAGCACTTAGCATCTAATATTATCTCATTTGAAAGTGTTTAAAGGCTAATAGCTATGTCTATTTGTTTGCTTACGATTATTGGCATGTGCATGGACGTGATTCTCCGCCGGTTACTACGTCAAATGGGACATTCATAGATTAGGGTATCGTACAAACTCTAGCTACTTGTACCATCTCGATCTGTGTAATTTATTTTAAGAAAAAATAGATCGAGTGTAAAGACAATTCGCAGGGGGGAATGAATCCAAGTGGATGTAGACAGTGGATAACGATATTAAGGAACCGTGAATTCACCCTGCGCGGATTAAATTCTAAGGATCGATCACATGCGAGCATATTATGCATTTTAATAACAAGTTCAAGAACGGATGTATCTACATCTTTTCAACCAAAACAATCAACACGAATCCACTTTAATATATATCTATACAAATAAAATAAGAGAAGAAGCTTTGGGTTTTGATAAGTTCCTACTTCCTAGACGAAATTAATATATTTGTGTTCTTCGGGGTCAAAGCCATTAACATTGTAACTTCATATGGAGGAGAATTAAGCACTGTTGGGCCTAATTATTAAAAGCCTAATAGCTAAACTAATAAAGACAAATCTGTGAATACAAATGGGCCTCGGCCTTATGTGTTTAAATGAATGAAAGGGAACTTTAATCCATATCGGCTGTGAGAAGAACAAGCGAGGTAGTACCTCCGTTTTGAAAAGTAACACGTTTAGAAAATTTCACAGAGATTAAAAAATAATAAATGCATTTTCTCTCTAAGCATTTGTGATTAATACTTTGCTTGATTCTACACCAAAGTTGCCGGAATATTTGTTTTTCTGTTTTTTTTATTATGGTTGCATTTAAATCATTTTGCACATTTCTTGTTAATTGTTCCTATTCCTTGAATAATGAATGTAACTTACTAGAAATCATTAAAATCTCGTAAAATGATTTAAATATAAAGGTAAAATTAACTTTTGTTGCAAAGCAAAAATTTTAGAATGGAGCCAAAACTAATTTATTTTGCAAAGCAAAATTTTAAGAATGGAGCCAAAACATATTCTAAAATGTTCTATATTAAAACACCATTTTCCAGTTTTATAATCAACTTTCATTCATGGCTTTTCATGATTTTGATTTAAATATACCATTTGTCTTTACCCAAAAAACATTTATGCATGTCCTTGTAAATATCAAATGCTCATAACTGACTGAGTTTATCCTCATCGTAGTAGGAAAAAACATTAATGACAATACATAAAATCTTTCTTTGTTGAACAAGGAAAAAACCCAAAACGTCTTACATTTCAGAACGGAGGTAGTATATGTAATTACACTTACCTTGGTTAAAACGGCTCAGACAAAGAAAGAGCTCTCCACGTATGAGCTGTCGATGCTCGGCTCGACTTGGATCTTCAATTTTGGTGGAGGGTCTCCAGCCCAATATAGTTCTTTTTAGACCAACAAACCAAGTTATGTTCAACTTTTTTGCCTATTTAGTTTCAGAAAAAAAAACAGCAGGAAATTAATTTTGAACGGCATGTAGTTCGTTAAAAAACAACATGTTGTCTCACTTCTTGACGATAAGTTTAAACGAGAAAAGATCTTCCGGAGGAATTTTTGTAATGCCTCAACTCCGAGATTTCTGCCAACGTGCTACATTAGTTACGGAAAGTGGCTCGTCTTCTCCTCTTTAAAATTCTCGTCTACTCCTCATTCATTCTTTACGTTTTACACAGCAAAAACTAGCAAATCTCCCAGCATAAGTCTTAGAGAGTGTTTAGTAGAATTGTTAGTTCGTTAGGATGTTCACGAGTGTAAGCGTGAATCGTATATTATGGTTGTATCCTACGACTCTAATTTGTACATGTCCGTCTCACTACGGAGCGAATATTAAGAGTTAAGGAAAGATATTTGTCCCGACTCCATGGTTTATTTTAAAAACATTTTTCCTATCGTTTTTTAGTTCGTCTTTCCAATAGTATATTTCCTTAACATCGTCATCATTTACGTCAATTCGGTTTTCCGGCTTCCACATTCTTAACTCTTAATCACTTCTTTTTCATATAAGCTTTAATCGGATTGATTTATTACGGTTTTATAAATGATTTATTCAAGTATTTATAAAACGGTTTGCTTTTACTAAGTATCGGGTTTGCAATTTGCTATTACATCTCTGCGAAACGTTTTTGATTTTAAGTATAAACGATTTTTCGGTTTTTCCTTTAGCACTTCCGCAAAACTTTTTTTCGTAAATGATTATTAAAATGATTATAAAAACGGTTTGTTTCCACGAACGCTTCTAAAGGGAGTTTGTGAAACAATCAAAATATCTATACCCACGATTTTTGCGGACGCTTTTAGCGATTTTGCAAAACGGGTCTTGGCTTATCGATCATATATGGTGACTAAGAAAGCTCTTGAGCGATCTTTAGTAAATCCAGATGAATAATAATATGCGGTTACACAATTATTTTCATAAATAATTTGTTGTTTCTTATCTTCGTACTAACACACATTCTCGTTTGTTATTTTTCAGAAAATCAAACATGACTACCGGTACCAACAACAACACCATTGATGATCAAACCCCACTGAACGTTGCTCAAACTGATGCAACCATGAAAACCATTAGAACACCAACAACAACCAGTGTGACAACAACAACCACCCTTCCAGTGGGTATTGTGCTGATGAAACCACGCACCAGAGTTTGTTCGGTGCTGGTCTTTATCAAACGGTTTCAGTCGATGGATCCACAAGTGCTCCGGCTGCAGTTGTGACTCTTCCGGTTATTCCTGATGGATCTCTCAAGGACTGATGCCAAACCAATTTGATGGCAAAGGCTTCAAAACGTGGCATAAGAAGAAGATGTTCTTCTTCACAACGATGAAGTTGGATAAATTCATCAAGGAGGATAAACCCAATATCCCTCATGGGATTGAGGATGTGCACACTCTCACAAGTGTTGAGATTTGGGTGAATTCCGACCTCATCTGCAAAAGCTACATTTTGGGTCGTCTCATTGACCCATTGTACTGAATCTATTGTGATATTTCCACAGTGAAAGAGCTTTGGAGATCACTGGACAAGAAGTACAGAGGTGAGGACGCTGGCTGTCAGAAGTTTGTGGATGCAAAATTCCATGAATTCAAAATGGTGGATTCAAAACCCATCATGGATCAGGTGGAAGCGTTTCAGCTCATTTGCCATGAAATTGCTGCTGAATGAATGTCCATCAGCGAGACATTCACAACTCTTAGCTTCATCCAAAATCTTCTTCCAAGCTTCAAGAACTACTTGAAGCACAAAAAGAAGAAAATGGGTCTCGTGGAACTCATCACGAGGATTCAAATGGAATCCAGGAACCAAAATGATGACAAACTGCTTCAAGACAAATAGCATAGTGTCAATATGTCTGAGATGAAAGGCAAAGAAAAGGCACACGCCCACTCTCTTGCCAAGCTTTCAAAGAATGCTGCATCATTGAAAGCTCCTTGACCAAACTTCAAGAAGAAAGACATTGAAATCAGTGCAAATGTGGAGAAATTCAAGGGAAAATGTCACTACTGCCACAAGGTTGGTCACATGACTGCTGAGTGTCGCAGCAAGATCAAAGATGAGAAGGTTCAAGCAAATCTCACTGAAGAAGATATCATTGCAGTGGTGACTGAAATCAACATGGTTGAAGAAAATAACCCTAAGGAATGGTGGTATGACACAGGTGCAACCACCCACATTTGCACTGATAGAACGATGTTCACCACCTATCAGAAAAGCAAGACCCAGGAGAAGCTGTTCATGGGGATACTACAGTCTCCAAGATTGAAGGCCGCGATAAGATGATTCTGATATGACATCTGGATGTGAAGTCACTCTGCAGAATATGAAGCATGTGCCTGACATGAGGAAGAACCTGGTCTTGGGAACCTTGCTCAGCAAGAATGGATTCACCACATCTCTTGAGGCGGAAAAGCTCATGATTAAGAAGAATTCGATATATTTGGGAAAAGGGTATGTTAAGGATAGACTGGTCAAAATGAATGTAATGATAGTCACTTTGAAAGTTGTAGCTCTAAAAGTTTCAATGAATAAGAAAGAGCCAGTTGCTTATTTGGTTGAGTCTTTTAATATATGACATGAAATATTAGGCCATGTAAACTACAAATCGATACAAATATTAATGAATCTAAATCTAATCCCAAAATGTAAAACAAGTAAAAAATGTGAAGTATGCGTGCAGACTAAACTCACAAAAACGCACTCACCTCATGTTGAAAGAACTAACAAACCTCTAGATTTAATTCACATTGATTAATTTGATTTAAAATACATACAAACTAGAGGTGGTA